CACAGAGTCAGAGGACCAATCAGAGCAGAGACCAATCAGAGCACAGGGTGAGAGTCAGAGACCAATCAGAGCACAGGGTGAGAGTCAGAGGACCAATCAGAGCACAGGGTGAGAGTCAGAGGACCAATCAGAGCACAGGGGACCAATCAGAGCACAGGGGGAGAGTCAGAGACCAATCAGAGCACAGAGTGAGAGTCAGAGGACCAATCAGAGCACAGAGTGAGAGTCAGAGGACCAATCAGAGCACAGAGTGAGAGTCAGAGACCAATCAGAGCACAGGGTGAAACAGAGACCAATTACTGACCACAGATCATATAGATACGTACTTTCCGGAGAGGTCGGTGACGTGCACGAAGGTGTCGTTGAAGGAGGCGAAGATGTGGCAGACCCCGAACACGTTCTCTCCTTCAGCGACCTGAGGGCCGAGGCTGATCACCTGCTCCTCCTTCTTCTCCTTGCCTTTACGTGGAGCCATGTTCTGCAGGAGGAGAACACACACACATCTTTAAGAAGTGCCATGTAATGTTTAGACGATTTTATCCAAAGCAACTCATATACTCAACACTGTGGACAATCCCCACAGGAGCACTTTGGGGTGGAGTGTCTCAGGGACACAACGACATGCTGACTGCAGAGGGGTTTGAACCTAACGCACTGCACCACACACCTCCCACAACTTTACATACATCACACACTACTGCTGGAACAGTAACATCACGCTGCACTTCTATTGGCTAGCACTCAAACGCACCACTGAGTTAAAGTCCATACAACCTGTTAGCATTACTCACAGTTTAAGTTACTACTTCAGACCCGATCTGAACAGACTGAACCCCTTTCAGCAGGTAACACTCTACAGGTGTCAGCAGTACTTTAACTTCCGATACACCGAGTCAGCTGTGCAGGTACTTCCTGTCTGAGAGCAGGTCAAGTGTAAACACAGAAACACTAACTCCTAACTCTAAGCTCAGCACCAACCGTCTTTAAAGTCTAATTTCAAAATAAAAGCCCCAGAGACACCAACCCTGCCAGATATGCAGTTACTTCAAAATAAAAGCTCATAGAAACATTCACTTTGAACTCTCAGAACCCTCACTGTCTTAATGGCTCATTTCACAATAAGAGACACTAACGCTGCTGATAGCAGTTACTTCAAAATAAAAGCTCATCAGAGTACTCATCCAGTCCCCAGTGATGTGTACTGGTCTCTGCAGCCACTCACCTGAGGGTCAGTCTGTAGTTCCGTCTTTACTCAGATTCAATAAGAACTACAGATCTGTCCGGTAATGGAAGCAGGCGTGCTGACTGCTCACATGGTGGTCAACCTGCAGCTAAGCTAACACATGCCAACAACCTTCTGATTAAAAACACTGACTATAAAACAGTGTGACATCATCATGTAATCCCATTCTAATCACTCTTTATTTGAAAAACGGTTAAACGGAGTGTGTCGCACACACGATGCTACTGTTAGCGTGTTAGCTCCAGCCTCACCTGCGCTGGGCCACCTGCTTCCTCTCTTTAAAAGACTCTACAAGCTTCTCTAAAGACATGATAAGCCTGTTGTTAGTCTTTACCGTGTTATTTATTATACATTAAACTCAGTAAACGGGTTTCTTCCAGCAGCTCGGGCACAAAATGGCGCTGAGTTTCTTCGGCTCACTTCTCTCAGAAAGTCGGAGGTAAAAACGGATAAAAAGAGACTCGGAGTTTAACTCAGAAACACAATTCCTCCACAAACACGGTGTAACACGGTGCCAGGTGAGGCTCGGGCAGGCAGGAGTGCGGATGGTTACCTGAACAGCAGATATTACTCGGATTAAAGCAGACAGAAACTCACCGCTGTATGTCTCTTTGGGAGCAGAAACAAGAAAGGAAAGAACTTCCGCTTCCGGTGCCAAAGATGAGGCCTCGCAGCGCGGGAAAGAGAGGCTGCCCCCACGTGGTTTCCCCCAGAAATACATCGAGTTTATTCAATAAAGTGCTTATATTCATATATATTTCATGTATTATATAAGATAGTTTATTCATGTCTTAATTATGGTTGTGTTGTATTAATAAGTTATAGGATTTATGTAGATATACTTTTATAGTAGCCTACATTGTAACTGATAAAGAGAGGCTGCCCCATGTGGTCTCCGCCGGAAGTACACCTGGTGTTTTTATACATGTATATAATAGATTTAATAAAGTGTTTATATATCATTCACTGTTCATATCTTACCTTTATTATATAATATAGGGTGCATTAATGTGTTATATTATTATATGACATGTATAATATATAAGACAGGGTTTTAATGAGTGTAATATTTGCATGTCTTTGTTATAACTGATAGAGAGGCTGCCCCCTAGTGGTCTTTGTTATAACTGATAGAGAGGCTGCCCCCA